GTGATAAGATGGAAAAAGAACTAAATGTGTGCATATAGCCCCGTGTGGTGGTGCACACCATTCTTTGAGGGGCACTTGGGAGGCAGGCCCACGTAGCAAGTTCAGGTCAGCCAGGACTATATGGCAAGAACTTGTCTTGGAAAAAAAAAAAAAGCGCATGTATGTACGGGGGGGAAAAAACGGTATTTATAGCATTTGATACAAAACTTAATTTCAGATATCCAGAGGGACTCTTAGAAAATATTGCCTACACTACAGATAGGGCAATTACTGTAGAAAGATATGTAACAACCAACACAGTTTAAGATTATAGAACACCATTCAGCTGGAATATGTAATCCCTTAAAAAGTAATAAATACACATGGTGCCTTAGTTTGTTTCTCCATTGCTATGACAAAATACTCTGACCAATACCAGCTTGGGGAGGAAATGGTTCATTTTATCTTACATCTCCTGGGTCACAGTTCATCACTGAGGAAGCCCAAAGGTAGGAACTCAGGGCAAGACCCTGGCGGCAGAAGCTGGAGCACAGGCCACGGAGGAACGCTGCTTACTGGCTTGCTCCCCTGGCCCCTGCTCAGCCTACTTTTTTTTTTTTTTCTTATATTCATTTTGTGTGTATGAGTGTATTGCCTGCATGAATGTGAGTGCACCCGTGTCGTGCGATGCTGCGGAGGTCAGAAGAGGGCTTCAGATTCCCCTGGAACTGGAGTTAAGGATGGTTCGTAGCCACCATGGGGGTGCTGGGAATCGAACCCAGGTCCTCTGCAAGAGCGGTCAGTGCTCTTAACCACTGAGCTATCTCTCCAAACCCCGCCCGCCCCCATCAGCCTGCTTTCTTATGCAACACAGGCCTACCTGCCCAGGGGTGGCACTACCCACAGTGGGCTGGGCCCTCCCACATTGCAGAGAAATTCTTCAATTGAGGCTCCCTCAACCCAGGTGTATCAAGTTGATACTAAAGCTATCCAGCATATATGGTAAAAGTACAAAAACTTTAAAGGGTAAAATGTGAAGACAGGCCCATGTTCCCAAAGGTAAATACTGTTAACAGCCTCTTATGTGCCCTTCCAGAAATGTTTTATTATGTAGTTTCTTAAATATTTCTAAAGTTCATAGAACTATGGAAACATCTGTAAGTTAAAGCAGGAGTTGGAAGGATGGCTCAGTGGTTAAGAGCACATGCTGCTCTTCCAAAGGACCTGAGTTCAGTTACCAGCACCCATATGGGGTGGCTCATGACCTCAGGTAACTCCAGCTCTAGAGGATCCAACATCCTCTTCTGGCCTCTGTAGGGACTCTCATACACATGACAGATACAAAACATACACATAATAAGAATACATTTTTTAAAATAAAAAATGAAAATGTAAAACATAAAATATAAACATGTAAATTTGTGGCTAAGAATTAAAACCGATATTCTCTATGATTAAAGAATTATACTGTGGGGCATGCAGTTGCATGCTTGCAATCCTAGTACTTGGCAGTTGAGGCAGGAGGATTGTGAATTCAAGGCCAGCTTGGATTACAAAGTGAGACTCTGACTTTAAAAAAGGAAAAAAAAAATATACTCATTATAGGAATCTTGGAAAATAATTTGAACTTAGAAGGAAACAAATTCGCTTCATAAAAAATATAACTATAGGGATTGGAAGGATGGCCCAGCGGTTAAGTATACTGGCTGTTCTTGCAGAAGTAACAAATCCCATATGAGAGCTAACAACTGTCCAGGTTCAAATCCCAGCACCCACAGTTCCAGGGGATCCGACAGCCTCTTTTGTCCTCTGCGGGCACTGCATGACACGGGTGCACTCACCTACATGCAGGCAATACATGCATACACATATAATAAAAATAAATAAAATATTTAAATATATATAACTATATGCACAATTTTTCTACTTGCCAACCCTTTCTTATGTGCAAGTCAATGTTTTGTGTGTTTATCTATTACATCAAAATTTAATATGCCTTTCCCAACTTAATATTGCATGATGAACATTTCCACACATTTACTACTTTCAACAGAGCCTTGATTAAAGTCATGAAAACTTATTTCAGGAAGCTTAAATATTAGTAAATTCACTCCTCCATGTCAAAATTAATTCATTGGATAATCTTACAATGTTAAATACTAAATTCACTCACTTACACCAAATTTCAATACCTTATGTTTCTTTGAACAGGACAAGTTTCAAAGAAACCTGGAATCACTTCTGAGGCAATACATACTACTCAATCATTATTCAGCTTTTGTATATAAGAAAGTCATTGTACATCACTTACTTGCATATTTTTTCTCACTTTTAAACAATGATCCACTGTTTTTGCTGAGAAAAATCTTTCAACCAAGAACAATTTGATAAAGTCCAACAAGCCCTAGCTTCAGAGGCAAAAGTCCTAGGTCACTACCATTCAGGTTACAAGAGCAAAGGTGATCAAAGCCCCGTGCTCTTTCTATGAGGTTTCATCAGTCAGATATTTATAATCCAGCTC